GAAGTTGACTAATGTTTGCACTCTCTTGGACCTTAACAATCATAAAAACATATATTAGTCATCTTTCCCCTTGCTGGGCTCAATACCTGACACTTGCAACTTAGAAGAGAAGAGGTTTAAGTTAGCTCATGGTTTGGGGGATTCGATCCATGGTCAGCTGGCTCTACAGGGCAAGAACATCATGGCAGAAGGACATTGTAGAGGAGGGCTGCTTAGTTTATGGCAGCCAGCCAGGAACCAGAGCAGGGGAACAGCGCTAGAGAGAAATGGAAGAAGGACAATCCATATCATTGTGCATGCCTCTCTGGCCTTGGGCATCAGGTGCTAGCCTCCAAAAATCTCTGCTGTTTATAGTGCCCAGTGTGCTGTACTTTGTTACGATGTCTTTGCAAGCTAAATCATTCTCTTCCTAGAACCCTGGCTCCCAGGAGCAGGTCACCCGCCCTGTTTGTGCTCTGTTCTCGGCACCCAGAACAGAGCTGAACAGGTGAGTATTAAAGCTGCTCTGCATCTGCAGTAACTACCCCAGGTTTCTGGAGAGCTTTCAGACTCTCCTCAACCACAGTGGCTGCCTGACATTCCTAAATACTAGCTGCCGTGTTTGCTGCATTTATTGCTTAAATTTATTTTTTGAAAAATAGTGAGTTATGTATCTACTTTCCCATTCCACTATACAGAGAGGTAAAATGATTTACAAGTTCATATAATTTATTAGCAGCATAGGTGGTGCCAGTGTTTGAAGGTGTTGATTTTCAACTTGAAGATGTGTTTTTGACCCTTTCCTGCTCTACTGGCTTTCTAAATAGGAGAAGAGTGGTTGATAAAGATTACTAAAGCATTAAGAACTTGGTAAGTTATACTTTCAGATGTTATAATTTAGCTCAGATGAGCATTTAAGTTCAAACCCTGGATCAGTGCATGGAGAACTCTGCCCCACAGCCCTATCTGCCTACCAGCTCCTATATCATCTCACTGGTAAACTGACTGCTTGCTTATTCCCTCAGCCCAATCTGAGCTTTGTATGCTCTGGTTTTCACTTCTCCGTAGCTTGAATGCCTTTCTCAGCTTGTTTTGCTGTCCTTGAGACCTGCTTACCCCTCCCTCGGGAAGCCCCTCCATTATCCTACCAGGGTCCCAGAGGCTGCAAGTTCCTGTGTTTCTGGGATGTAAGCACTACTTCTATAGTGCTGCAGAATCCATTTGCACCATTTGCACTGTCACAGGTGTGGAAGGAACTTTGCCAAAAAACAAGTGGTACATACATTGTTCTGTGAGGTACATGGCAAAGTTCTGAGAGCCACCGGGTTCCAGGCTATGGTCACTGATCATGCTGTGAGATTGTAAATAATTATGTCATTCAATTGTTGTTATTGATGATGGCATTTGAGTGACATTACCTTTTAAATTAGAAAAATAGTAAAGTCAGGCTACAATACAAATACACTTCGAGATTAAGACATAATCATGAGAAATTGGGAGATATATATATATATAGATATATATATATATATATACACACACTCTCTGACAGAACCATTGTGGGTAACATGAAAAATATGCTTGACCTTAGTAAAATAAACATATTTCCAATGCAATGGTTGATTAATGGGTAATTAGATCGATTATGGCTACATGAATGTGAAAAATTACTCCTAAATATTCATATATTCACTTTTATAAATACAGCTTTAAATGGGTTTAGATTAGTGCTTTTATCCTTCTAAAAGTGACAAATAAATCACAAAATGTTCCTATGAGCAACAGGCATTCTGTAATCATCTCCATGTAATTCCCTATAATGTTTCTGTTATTTTTATGTCTTCACTAAATTTGATTCTTATTTTTGCTCAACTACTTGGAGAATTCTAATCTTTATTGTCATGTAAAAGAAAGCTTGGTTGATTTCTTAGTAATTTTCTTCAAAGATATTTCCCTGGGTTGTGCTATGCAAAAAAGTAATTATTGTGTATGTTATTTAAATTAAATTAAAACCTATATTTCATGTTGAAATTATAACTTGAAAAAGCAGTTGAAATAGGAAAAAAAGTAATCCTCATTCCCATGAAATAAAAAAATTAGCTATGTTGATGTGAGATCTTAACTGTTACTGTTTCTGAACATTTCTCTTCTAGCCTTCATGGGCAAGGAGAAGGTGTAATACTTAAATTCTTCCTAATCATCTTACTTGCTTTTTCTCCACTCACAATAATATAATCTCTATCATTTGAGTAGAGGGCACTTCCCATTAGATTGTCTACAATACAGAAAAGAAATGGTCATGGTCAGCAAAACCATTTTGAAAAAATGAAGAATGTCAGAATGCGAATTTTTAAATTTTGTTTTTTATTAGTACATGTGTGCAGTGCATAATGTTTGCATTTCTCATGTAGAGCTGCTGCATGCACAGAACATTTCTTAATTCCTTTACATCCCTCTCCTTTCCCTCCATCTCTCTCCATGTCTTGTTCTCCTCCCATTCGCAAAAGATCTATCTCTCTCTTTCCAATTATCAATCTTTTATTTTGCTTCTTATTTTTATCTTAGGTTTCTTATATAAGAGAAACCATGCACTATTTAAACTTGTGTGTCTAAATTATTTCACTTCATATTTTGGTCTTAAGTTGCATCCAATTTCCTACAAATGACTCAAGTTTATCTTTATGGCAGAGTAGAACTCCACTGTATAAATACCACATTTTATTTATCCATTCATGTTGATGGACATATAGGTCACTTCCAAGATTTAGCTGTTGTAAACTGTGCTGTTATATACATGCTTGAAAGAGTAGTCACTCGAATCACAAGGAACAAGTAGCTATATTTTCTTCTCTACTGCTTTTTATGGACATCTTAACATATAGCTCAAATAGCCACTTGCCATTACCTGCTATGGGGCAGTAGCTGCTACCAATGACAACTGAATCTATTAAGTAGAATTATAAAAAGAGCCCAAAGTGTTTCAAATATAGGGGACCAAATGAATAAAGATTTAAGTTTGGTTATATAAAAAGTATATTTGTAGAAACTAGTATTGCTCCAGTCTAGCCAACTTTATAGTTCTCACTTTTTAAAGGTATTTTAACCCAACAAATAGTACCATGGCTATATATAAGGATAAAGCTATGTGGTTAAGAAAGTCATATAATTATACAGATGGTTTCTAACTTATTATGGTTTCACTTATAATCTTTTACCCCGATGGTAGTGTGAAAGAGATATGTATTCAGCAGAAGTGATACTTCAAATTCTGTGTTTTGACCTTTTCCTGCACGGGCGCTGCTCTCTGTAACACTCTCCTATGAAGCTGAGCCATGGCTGCCACATGCATCGCTGGTCACAAGGACAAACAACCCCATTCCACACGGGACTGCGTTGCTAAGCTATGTTAGATATATTAAGTGCATTTCCAAAATGATATTTTCAATGTATGATGGGTTTACAGGGATGGATCCCCATCATAAATTGTAATACAATCGTATGTGGAGGAACATCTGTACCTGGAGAAGTGCTTCACTCGCCTGGCAAACTGTCACAATTTGGTGATTGAGCCATTATATGTGGTAACTATCCTCAGAAATGATCGAATAAACTTGAATTTTAAGCAAGAAAGTGGAATCTGACTCAACAGAAAGAATTAGGTCTTTGAGGTAAGAAAACATGATAGTGTTTGATTGCTTTGTGAAAACTGTCATAAAAAAATAGCAAAATGAAGCATGTAGTCACCCTAATTCTGAGCCTAAGAGAGTTAGTCATCCACTCTGCAAAAAGGCTTAGGTTTGTGATATTTTGTTGCTCTGTCACAAAGCTGTCAAGAGAGTGGTTATGAATAAAAATCTAGTGAAATATTCACTACATTGAAGCTCTCTTCCTTTTAGAATGTGTATTTGAAGCCCTGTAAAAGGTATTCACTATCAAATATTGCTAGAGGGAGTACAGAATGGTAGGATACTTATCAACAAAGGAAAATCTGGAAATATCCACCAAAATTAAGGGTGCATCTTCCTTTTGATCCAGTCGTTAGAAATCCAGACTCTGTCCTATTGTTAAACTTGCACAAAAATACAATTAAGATTATGCAGGTTTGGCAATAGAACATTAGCTACATAAACTATGGGAAATCTACATAATTGAATAAAGCTCAGTTTTTAGGTGGTGACTTCTATTTCAAAGATTCCAATCCTACTGTTTTTCTCTAAACACAATGGAATTAAATTAAAGATCAATAATAGGAAGATCTCTGGAGAATCTCCCTATATCTGGAAACCAAATATACATTTCTAAATAGGTAACCATTGATCTAGGCCCAGGGGTCTAGAATCTAGAATTCTCCTCTCTAGAATTATCCTGATTATGAAGCAGTACAAATATTATATGAAAACAAAACTCATACCAATATCCTTCAGGAACACAGAAGCATAAATTTTAAGTGAAGTTTTAGCAAATGGAGTCCAGCAAATTACTTTTGCAAGAAGAATATAATTTGACCATGTGGGACAGAGTTCTAAGATGGCCCCCTGAAGCCCTCTCATAGGCTTTGATTACCCTGTTTCATCTTTTTTCCATGAGTGAGGTTGAGACCTGAAAATCTGATGGGATTCTCACTGCCTTGATTACATCATGTTTTATAGGACTCCACATCAGACTAGAAATAGAAAGAAACCCTGCAGCAAGCTTTGAAGTCAGTTTTCTATCGCCAAGGGCCATGTGGCTGAAATCTGCAGGAGACTGTGAGAGCTGAGAGCCCCTCACCCACAGCCAGCCAGCACCTGAAGGCCTGGGTCCTCTGACCACACACTGTCCCCAACAGAATGAGCTTGGCAGAGCACCAAGCTGCAGAGGAGACACTGCCCAGCCAGTATGAGGATCTCGCCCTGTGAGACCCAGACATCTCACATTGACTCCTTGCCTGCAGGACTGGGTGAAAGTGAACCAGTGTTGCCTCAAGCCACTTTGCTTGTGGTCATTTATCATACAACAATAGAAAACTAATGCAGTGTCCAAGTGGGATTTATTCCAGAAATGCAAGGTTAGCACAACAGCAATTTATAAAAATCAGTTGATGTCATTCACCATATTAACAAAGTGAAGGAGAAAAGTCACATGACCATCTCATTGGATTCAAAAGGAGCCTTGCACCAAGTCCAGGATCCACTGCTGAGTTTTAGAAAGCTCTCAGCAAGGAATTATCTCTTCCTAAAGCAAAAGAAGGAGAACAATGGGAAAAAATTTAAAAAAGAGAAAAGCTGGAATTTACATCCTATCTGGTTTTTCCACAGCATTAGTTTATTTTCAAACATATGAACTATGCTATGTGAGTTCAAGAGTTTGATCCACTTTTCCAAGGGATTTGTACCTCTTCATTCATCCTTCTGGTCTGTTAAATTGATGATTTATGACTCCTTCATTTCTTAAGCAGTTGGTGTCTTCCTTTAAAGAAAGGTGCAATAAACTGAGATTCAAAGTACAAAGTATCAGACTCAGTAACCATTTTCCATGGACAACGGCAAATGCTTTAAGTCCTCCTCTAGCCGCTTCTATGGGCCACAAAGCTATGAAACACTGAAGGGATCCGCCCCAGCACCGTACTGGGGAGCTCGTGAGGACACAGAGATGGAAAGTAGAAGTGGCTATAGCCACTGACGCCTCCTCTCTCAGGACCCTGTTCCCTGTCCCATCTAGTTGTAAAAGACTGTATGCTCTTTACCTTCATGATCAGAAAGAAGAACAAACATCTGATCTCATCAGTCCTATTCAAACTACTGTATTTACCTATGGCTCTAGCCAGAGAAATAAGGTACAGGAAAGAAAGAAAAGACATTGAGATTTAAAAATAAAAGTATATATACAGAAGACATGATGGCCTATGTTGAAAATTTTATGTAATTCACAAAAAGCTACTAGTACTAATAAATGAGTCTAGCAACACTGTAGGACAAAAGAGCAATATAAAAATCAATTGTATTTCTGGATAGTAGCAACAGTTAGAAATTGAAATTTGAATATTTATGGTAATATCAAAAATGTGATATGTTCCAGCATAAATCTGCCAAAGATGTTTAAGATCTGTAGACTATAGAAATTCCAAAATCAATGCTGAGAAAACCCAAAGAACCGCTTAAGTAAAGGATATTGCTAAAGACTTTTTTTGTAGAAATTGACAAACTGACTTTAAAACTCATATGAGGAAACAAATGATCTGTAGCAATCAAAACAACTTTGAAAAATGAAGTACAAATGTGGAGACTGATGCTGTTTGATTCAAGACATCACAGAGCAATAATAATTAAGACAATGAAGCTTTGGTGTAAAGACAAAGAGCAGTCAAAGGACAAAATCAAGAGTTCCATAATCAAACTACAGTTGTATTAACAACTGACCAAGTAATGTGCAAAGATAATTCAGTAGAGGATATACACTTTTGCAAAAATTATTGAAATAATTAATTATCATATTTTTGAAAAAGAACTATGATTTATATTTAATCCCATATTCAAAAAGTAACAAAAAATTGCCTGGAAACCAATTTACACTATCAAAAATGTAGAAAAAATCAATTGTGAAAAATCTCTGTAATCTTGGACTACAGAAAGGTTTTTCCAATAATATATTCAACTCACAATCAAGAGGAACAAATTAATAAATTAAACAGCATCAATATTTCTTTTGGTCTTTAAAAGAAGCTGTTACAAGAATGGAAAGATAAGCTACAGACTGGGAAAATATTTGGAAATGAAGTATCTGATGAAGGACTTCTATCTAGAATGTATGATGAATTCTCAAACTTTCATAAGAAAGCAATTAAATATATATAAATATAATATACATGAATAGATTTTTAAAGACACATCATTGAAAATATACGACAATTAAGTAAGTACATGATAGGATCCTTGACATCACCACAGACATACAAGAGACATCAAAATGAATAGCAGTTACACACATACTGAATGCCTAATACTAGCAAGACTAACAATAAAAGTGTTAGAGAAGTTGGGGAGGACCTGGAACTCTTCTGTACTGTTGGGAGGAGTGTAAAATGACACAACCACTATGGAAACAATCTAGCAATTTCTTGCACAGGTCAATGCAGACCAATCACCCAACCCAGCTACTTAACTCCTAGATACTTACTTAAAAGAAATGGGTGCTTTTGTCCATATCAGAGGTGTTCACTAATGTGCACTCCAGCTTCATTGGAAACAGCCAAAACCTGGAAATAATACAGATGTCCATTACAAGAGACTAGGTAAACAAATTGCAGTATAACCCCCAGTGCTATGCCATGTACCTGATGGATGGAGCGAAGGCCACACACATACACACACACACACACACACACACACACACACAAAGTTGCATAAATTATTGATACATGCTTTATTAGCAGTGTTCTCAAAAGGAGTTGTTTTTGATGAATGAAGCCAGACAAAAATAAACAAGTATGTGTTGCATAATTCCATTTCAAGAACTATAAGGAGTGCAAAGTGATGTGTAGTGATGAAAAGCAGGTCTTAGTTCCTGAAGTCCAGAGAGGGAGAGAGGAAGTACACAGGAGAGAGGAAATTATGGTAGTGGTGGACACACTTTTATCTTGATTTTCATGATGGTTTTGTGACTATATGTATATGCCAAAACTTATCAAGTTGCACATTTTTCAAATATGTATAATGTTTTGTGTATAAGTTATGCTTCCTTAATGCAGTTTTAGCAAAACTAGATTGCAGAATATTCATATGTACTGATGTGGAAGACACACCAGGATGTGTTAAGGGAAATGTTTCAAGCACAGTAGTACATATAGTCCGCTACATTTATCATAAGAAAGGAAAAGTGCATTTACAGTATTTGTACTCTTGTGTGTACATGAAGAAATTCTAGAAGAATAAGCAAAAGCTAATGAAATGTTTATTAATGGAGAGTGGATGGGGAGACGAATGGGAGAATCCTCAGCGGACAAACTCATGCTTCATTTTAATTTTTACCATATGTCCCAAATGTCCCTCAACTGGCGGGTGGAGAAGTAAGATGATATAACCAGTCAATGAATGCTCTTTTAGAAATTCAGACACAAGGTTCTGCTACATACCATACCATGGATGCATCTTGAAAACCTTATGCTCAGTGAAAGAAATTAGTCACAAAAGACCACATATTGTGAGATTTTTATGTACATGAAATGTCCAGAGTTGGAAAGTTATTAGGACAAAAATTAATGACTCTTTTCAGGGTGATAAAAATGGCCTGAAATTAGGTTGTGGTCATGGTGATTACCCATATCTGTAAATGTACCGAAAACCACTTTGTTGTATAGTTTAAAGGGTGGATGGTGTGGTGTATAAATCGTAATCTCAAAAAGCTGTTAAAATACTGCTTTCATAAATATTCATTAGAACTCACTCTATTTGAAAACTGTGTTTATATTATTCTTTATTTGAACTTATTAAATAGCCACCCACAGGGGGAATGGATGTTACAGCTTTTCTTTCACACACACAAAGGAAAGAAATAATATAATACTTGTTTCCGTATCTACCAGCAAATGAATCAAGAGGAGGACATTTTGAAAGCATCTAAAATGATATACTTTGGCCCACACAAAGTCCTAGGAATCCTGATCCAAGTTCCTGTGGTAGCTTCCTAGGTGGTTCCGCCACTGCTTTATGCTACGCTGGCTTCAGGTGGACTTTTTTGTAAACTGGATCCAACCAACTGGAGGACCCAGAAATGTTTCCCATAGGAACTCCCGCTGACAGGTGTAAAATAATCAAATATTGAATGATCCTTAAATGAACGGGAGGTCAGGCTAGGGTTCACTGAAGTATATTTGAACTGATCAATTCATGAGGCAGACTTAATATCATGTGACTTATCAATTAACTGTTCATTCCAGTTTCCAAGATTGTGTTATGGGACAGAAAATCTGAACCCTCAAATCCAGATGGGTGGTCTGGAGACAGGATCAGCTGTGCAGAAAAAATGACAGGACAAAGAGAAACAAAGGCTAAGGTAGATAAGCCTGGGATGGCAAAAGTTACAGAATTAGGTCAATAAAATGTCAGCATCTCAGTACAGAAAAAGTACAAATTAGGAGCTTAGAAATAACTTAACTTGATTAAATTAGAAGACTATGGGATTAGAAGACCACACACAGAAAGTAAAAAATAAACCCCGATCTAATTATTGTTCTTTCAAATTATTTAGAGAATCATTATAATTGGAAACAAAAATTCCACGCTGACAGAGGTGACAGGGCCCTCGGCAACTGCTACCCGAATGCAAAACCACAGAGTTAAGTACGGCTTCTATTTATTGTCGCACTCAAACACTGACATGGAGGCCAAACTCACAGCTCGAGAGTTTAAGACGAAAGCAAGAAACAGAAATAAATGGAATAAATGGAGCTGACCACTTCACCTGAAGTTATGAGTAAGAACAAAAAGCAGACTATTTTCCCCCAAAGCTATGCACATTGTAGCCCTTCCTCAATGGTATTGCCACTGCTTTTCCAAGTATTTTGTTCTTAATTTAGGCACCTAGTAAAAATTGTGTCATTTTCCTGTTTAAAAGGAGTGGGGGGAAAAAGGGTTCTGAATATTTTTAAATACCTAGTCAAGCCTATTTCCTATTCAGCTTCCTGTGTTTTCTTTACACAAATATAAGAACGGCGAAATATATTTCTATATAAGGGAGAAGAAAGGAAAAGTTTAGAATTTCCTGCTTGGATATAAACAAAAAATAAAAACCCTTCTCCCAGGCTTCCAGAGTCCAGGAGGACAAGGAGGACGTTGTTGTACGCAGGAAAAAGTATCTGAAGCTTTGGAACCTTGGATACCTGCAGGAATCCACACCCAGGAAGCCACTGCTGTCTAAACGTGTGCTTCTGCCATGATGGGCTTGAGCTGACCTTGGTTGCATAGACAACCACCATCTCTATTAAGAGAAAATGCATACTTCAATTACAGTATTTGTTACAATAAAGTCACCACAAATCCCAGAGCCCCTGTGTTTGAAAAATGCTTCACTGAAGGCATTTTCCGAATACTCCCTCACCCTGTGTCCTTTCACACCCAAGAGGGACTGCCCTCCAGGCCCATGTGTCGTATCCTGTAGGGGATGACTGGTGCCTGGTACACACACCTGCCCCTTGTCACACAGGGCCACCATCGCTATCTTGTGAGAATGTTCCAGAGCCAAACAGCCTCAAAGAGGAGGTGGCACCGGGCAGCGACAGATTCTCTCCAAAGACCAGCAGCAATTTGAGGAGCCCAGCACTGTCCTCTCTGCACCGCAGGAGTCCAGCTGAGAGCAAACAGGGAAAGGAATCAGAAGAAGAATCTTCAGGAATTCCAAGACTACAGCAGTCCATAGGGTCAGGAAGGAGACTCAGACGCCTTGAAGAGAGACCAGCCTCGTCCAGATCTGCGGTGACAGCGCACGTCAGTCCTGGTCAGCAGGCAGCACAGAGCCAGTGCACCTTCCTGCACTCTGCTGAGCAGAAAGGAAAGAGGTGGGGCAGAAACCTGGTGTTCAGGGTGCTGGATAGGAAGGCCAAGAAGTTGACGGTTTTCTCGGTGGGTTTACAAATGCACAAAGCAAGCCTTTCCTCCCTCCTCCTCCTCCTCCTCCTCCTTTATCACCCTCCCCCAACACACACACACACATATACACCTCCACAACCCATCACAGGCAAGCTTTGGAACCGGCAAGTGACCCCTGGCTTGTGACATCCCTCTGTGACTACTCAGAGAAAGCAAGAGGAGGAAGCGGGCCCTGTGCTCATCGGCCTGGGTTCCACCTGGAGCCCCATTCCATCTTCAGAATCGGAGGATGGCTGCACACAGCCGGCAAGCAGGGTGCTGCTCTGGGAAAGCGCTTTTCTAAGAGGGATTAGAATGCAGCCACTTGTGGTGAGAGACTGTCTTTACCCCCTTTTGGAAGATATTTGTGCGTCGACTCGGGTGCTCTTCACAAATCTTTTCATAAGGTTTTGACTAAACAAGCCAAAGTGTGATCAAAAATTACAGTGAATGTTTAAATTTTTTTTTTTTTTGAATGTATTACAGTAAAAGACACACTGACATCAATTCCCCTCAAAATCCTCCCCTTGCTTCAAACACTTAGATTGTGGGAGCTGCTTTTCTGTCGGATGGTGCTCAGCAGCAGCCTTCTCCACGTTTCTTGATCATGCCCCACAGAGACTCTGGACAGCAGGCTTCTAAAACGGTGGCAGGAAGGATGGGATAAGCTTGTTTGAAGTGAGGGGAGGATTCTGAGGGCGACTCATGGAAAGGGGTCTTTTACTCTAAGAACTTTTTATTTGTATTTAAATAGTCACCATGTGTTTTGGGTGTACCTCACATCCAGTGATCATATAAATATCCTATTTTTAAACAAAAAAATAGGGCCAGGGATTTAGCTCAGTGGTTCAGTCACCTGCCTAGCAAGCGCAAGGTCCCGAGTTCGATCCCTGATACCAAACAAAACAAAACAAAAAATGAGGGGGAGGAAACAATGCAACACAGAGCTGAAAAGAGAAAAACTGGGTCTGATTTTTTCAGGTTTGGTTACTAATTACTGCATTTGCCCAGTGATTTGTTGTACTGGTCAGGCTGCAAGAAGAGTGGAGCCCTGATCCCCAGTTCCTGACAGGGACTCAGAACCCTTCTGCGGGCGCCTTGTCTGTGCTCAGCTGCCCACATCATCACCCCGGGAAACAAGAACCCCAGCCCTGTGTGAGCGCCCAGGAGGGCTGCGGGGGAGCCAGGGGCTTCTGAAGATTTTCTGCAGGTGAGTAGGAGTTGCAGACGCAAAATAAACAAGCAGAGCCCCGGAAATGGACTCTTCAGCCCCCTAAGGCCCTGATCCACCCATGAGGCGCAGTGATGGGATCGCCAGGACCCGGAACTGCAAGAGAAGAGGCTGTGAGGAAACCCACGTGCCGTGCTGTCGGACTGCACTAACAGACCCGTGCAGGCCAGGAAGCCCCAAAGCCTCACCGCGTCCTCTGTCCCACACCTCTGCTGCAAGCTGTTGAGGCGAACCTTGTGGAGCCCTCAAAACCAAGTGCTGACTTGGGACGGACCCAGGGACAGAGCACGTCTGGGCACCTGGGCATCGTGGCTGAACACCCCATCCTGAGAAGATGGCCTCAGAAAAAAGAAAGTGCCACGCAGCATCTGGCAAACAGCTGTCAGTCCCTGAGACAGATGG